CATACATACATACATACATACGGCTTGTAGGTATTCTGTATAAGAAACGGAGATAGGATATCTAGATGCGCCGCTCGCCGTGTTTGCCTGGTGTATACCGCACGTGATACTGAGTAGTTGTCACGTCGTTTCGGTTTCAGCGGTCTCGACGATTGTCTAGGGAAGACCTAAGTAAGCTTCACTCCTGACTGTTTCCAGGCACTTCCGCCACGAAGGCTTTCAGGCCCTGCAGACACTTGGGATGGCGATGGTGGCGAGCTTGGGATTCTCTGAAGACATAATTGCACCCTGAATTCACCCAGGCCTTGCAACTTTCGGCTTTTGGGGTTGTCAGCGTTGGAGGTCCCCGTAGCTCTTTTGAGCACGTTCTTGCAGACTTGCCAAGGATTCAGGATAGTGAATGCTAGGGCAACCCCACCCCTTCATCCCATGGTGTTAGATTGGAGCCATGTTAGCAACGGCCTTTGTGTTCTGAGGCTTCCCCAGAATCACTGGCTCTTGCGACTCTTGCGAAAATGTTCGGGCTGGCTGTGATGTACATTAAATCAGACATCACCTCTGTTTCAGACGCTGTGTCTGGTCGCCAAATTCGGGGAGTCGAAACCCTCGCAGACCCTGAGCGCTAAACCCGGAACCTTGACGGCTCAAGCCTCAAAAAGAATAGCCTCTGCACCCCTAAACTTTTCATAAGACTATAGAACACTTGCGGTAATCTTTCTCTTACCCTCACAGAAACGATCGTTTCGGCACTGTTTTTGACTGCCGCGCGAGAGGCCGTCGCTTTGAATTATCGTGGCTTGGCCGGACAGGAGCTCAAAACCTCCAAGGCGAATTAGGGTTTCAGCACTCGCAACTGGGACAAGTGGGTTTAGAGTGTCGGGGTTGGGGGAGTTTGGGTTTAGGGCTCCTGTTCTGGGTTTCAAGGGGCTTAGAAGAGCGTGAAAGTGGCTTACGAAAAAAAGCACGCGCTATCATCATCCAGAGCTTCTGTGAGAGGCTCTTGTTGGCTGCCCATGGGTCTTAGGATTTTGTTGGGAGGCTCTCGGCCAGGCGTTTAGGGCGGAGGGGCAGGTCTCATAGCGTTCTGGGGAGGATATAGGGCTTTAGGGTTTAGGGTTTATGCATGGGGTCTTTTGGGGTTTGAGGGCTTGTGGGTTTAGGGTTTATACATAGAGTCTTCTAGGGTTGAGGGCTTTGGGGTTTGGCGTTGAGGGTGTTTTCGGGTTGAGAAGGATGTGCGTGGAGCTCTTGCAAGCGCCCATGCCGTTCTGTCGGCAACTATACTTGAGGGCCGCTTCTGTCGTACTTGCTTTGTCGACGAACTTGCCTGCCGCGGTCTTAGTTTGCTCCCCAAGCCCTTGTATACCCTAAAGCACGTTATAAGTGGTCCTACTACAACACCCTATGAGGCCTACACCATAAAGCTAACCCCATACCCCGAGTCCTAAACACTCAGAAACCGCGGGGCGTGCAGGTGGGCTGTGCGGATTGCTGGCGCGACATGCCCGAAGTGGAGGAGCACCTTGGGAAGGCGAAGCCCAGCCAGATTCATGTGCCTGAAAATTACGAATATGCTTGTTCCTCGGGGGTTCCTTATTGTGAGTATAGTAATTATATACTATACCTCAAAACCCCCTTCTAACTCTCAAGGTCACTATATTAGCCTTTTGTCAACCGCAAGTCTCCAGCTACCTAAGTAGGGTGCCTTTGGGGCACATGCTCAGGTACTCAACAGTTATGTACATACAAACATATCACTTGTAGCCTGCTATTTAGCAACCGGGCTCTGGTTAGCAACAGGCATCTGGAAATGAAGTACCATGCGTTCATCTGCATTAGCCAGGGTGAGGAATTCCCAGAAGGATTCTTAGGCAGCTGTCTACATAACCCCATATGCTCATTGTCCAATCTCGGGATGCTAAGGTGACATGGGATCAAGGGCGTTGAGCAAGCCTCGAATGGTCAAAAACTTATCGATCAGCGTTTAGTGTTTGCAGGTATGTGCTGGAGCCGAGTTCTCGGCAGTGGCCTTCTCGATGGGCCGCTGGACGTCCAGACACTTAAGTGTGCCTCCTTCTCTTAGCTATCTTTAGCTCGTACTATGTAGGACCCTGATCATACCATCGACGATCCACAACCAAAGATTCTGTAATCCAGGCTGTATGTAGTGTGGCGGATCTGCCTGCGTGTAATTCAGCAGTTTGGATGATGTCACAGAAACTGAAGTTAATCTATTCTGATGTGCTCATGGATCTGACCAAAGAAGAGGTGGCGTCATTCTCCTGCGCCACCTGGGTGAGATGGGTGCAAAGACGTTACTTGGCCAAGCACGTCGGAAGTTGTACACTGTAAGTTGCTTGCCTTGCTGTTGGAGTGCCTTCGCTGTTTCATGGTTCGGCCAGGCTCTTCTCTTCTGCCGTCACCGTTGCCTCTCCCGTCGATGTGCCCGCGGTCATCAGCTCCTTCAACTCAAGTGCCCAAAACTGCAAGGGTGCTGACCCATAAGCCTTCAACTTACTACTTACACCCTAAACCCCAACGCGCCACGCACCAGACTAAACCCTCCTAGATACATAAGCCTCAGACCTCCCGAGGTTTCTTTTTTTCGGGGAGGGAGATGTCTGCTCCCCTGGCGCTCACGTGCCTCACGAGGTATCCGCAAGAGACTCACCAACTACATCATGACCACCGGCGTCAAGCTACTTATGCTGGGAGAGTTGAGGAGAACCTTAAGCCTCAACTCCATATGTATGCAACAGTATGTAGGTAGGTATGTATGTATGCATCTATGTAGGTCGTCTATATGTAATTATGTAGTTATGAGCCATATGCCTTGGTAAGTTGAGGAGGTCAAAGTTTCGCCACCTTGTCGACATGAACAAGCTGCTCAGCGCTCGGGGAATCGCAGATATCGACCAGGCTGCCATCTGCCCGCTCCATGGCTATGCTACTGCATCTGAGTACCATGAAGCGATCAGCCCTCGTCCTCATCTCAACAAGATCTCCATTCCGACCCTGCTGGTGCATGCAGAGGATGACCCGGTCATAAGCTACTCCACCATGCCCTTCCAGGACCTCCGCCGGAATCCGAAGCTCTATGTCGCCGTCACGAAGCGCGGTGGACACATCGGCTGGGGGAGCGGAGGGCTTGGTGCCGGAGCATGGACAGACACCATGGCTGCGCACTTCATGCAGGCGACCTCCCGCACGCAGAGTCGGGACATAGAGGGCACCGGTATTGCAGGAACGGAGACACGGCCTTTCCCGGCTCCTTTCTCGCGCTTGTGAGGCCAAGCTTGAATTGATCGGCTGCGCATGCTTGGTGAAAACAGAGAGCCCTCGCCAGCCTCCAAGTTACAGATCTTTGCAGAAGCCCATGGCAGGAGCTTGATCTCCGTGTGTATATATATATATATCACCATATATATATACATACACATGTGTATATATGATACAGATTCGGTGGCCTACAAAAGGGGAGGGCGTTACAAAGCAGAACTGGCCAGATATGATTCAGGCCGAGTCAATTGAAGCTTGCCAGCAAACAGCATGCTCAGAAAATCCGGCATTGAGGCCCATCGTGCTGGCTTTTGCCACCATATGTTTCCATTTTCCTTTGTGGAAGCCTTTGCTGAAGTTGCATTCTGGAGCAGGTGCATAAAAATCATTCGCAACGTTTTTTTGGAAGCCCTCCACCATCTGGGAGTTGTCAAGTTGCAATTTCCCAAGCCATAAACCGATAAACCCTCAAACCGTTTCGGCTGTGCAGGTGTTACGATTGCAAGAGCCTTATGTTGGTTGGTCCACAGGACCAGGTATGGGGTTCCATCTGGTGTATAGTACTTGAGGTAGTCTGCGAGATGCATTGAAGCCGTTTTTTCTTGCTGTTCCAGCATCTGGTTCCAAGTGAACCCCTCCTTGAACCTACCCTACCTACCTGCTCAGTTATTTGAGCTTTCGGTTGCAAAAGCTTGGTAAGTCACCCTGCCTTAAATGCATGAAGCGTGCATGTGCAATGGTGTCGAAGGGAGTGCTACCCTTTTACCGGGTGCCGCGGTCATGCTCGTGATTCCCAACCGACGGGCAGGATGGCCGTCGCTTCTTGGACGTTCTCCAGGAGAAGGCCGTCGAGCGAGACAGGTGTTTCAGAGCCTGTGACTCTCCAGCTTTGAGGGCCTGACCTTGAGGTTTTGCTCAAGACGGCAAGTCTTAGAAGAGCAATGTGGGCATCCCTGAGTGGCTTTAGCTGTCCCTGTGGCGCCTGTAGATTGTGTTACAACTGCCACTTCTTGTCATGTTCATGGCCGGCATTGACATCATCATTACGAGCGTGACTGATTGCAGCGCAGCTTTCATAGCAGCTTTCATGATCCATCTTACTAATCATCGTCATCGTCATCATCATCATCATCACCTGCGTCGTTATCATCTTCATCTTTTTCATCTCCATCACCCTCGTCATCACGTCTTCAAGACAGTTCACCATCATCGCCCTCCGTTACCTCTTTGCACTTCCTCTTATCAGAATCACCAAAGAACGGAGTCATCTCCATCACCAGTCATCAACAAGACCAGTATTGTTGCAATCATTGGCAATGTCATCATCTCATATATCCCCGCGGCTGTCGTCATCATCTCACCTGAGTTCGTCTGCACATCATCACTGTCTGCCCATCACCAATGTGACCTCTCCTGCATCTCCATGTTGCCATGAAGAACAAGTTGCACAGTAATGGTACTCGCTTCGTAGCGGAAAACCTTTTATGCGCAAATGAAAGCCTAAACACACGAGCAGTCTAGGCAGCCTACCTGAAGACATGTTTGCACGGCCACAAATCTCTCACTTTGTCTTTTGCGTTTTTTTTTCTCTCTCTCTCTCTCTCTCTCTCTCTCTCTCTCTCGCTGGCTCTCTCTCGCTCTCTCTCGCTCTCGCTTTATCTTGGCTCGTGGAACCCAAGCCTTTTAGCAGCTTTGGCAGCCCTGCCTGCAAGATACGTGGCGAATCTGCGCGGATGCTGGCTGTGGCGCGGCTCCGCCACCTGTCCTGACGCAATGTTTCAACAGCGACAGTTTGGGGATCATGGGCTCTGAAGGCCTGATGACTTATCCTCAATTGTTTTATAGCACCATGGATGTGAACATGCAGAATGACTGTTGTGATAATCGGTACTGCTGTTCGGTGTTTACGCACGTTAGTGCTACATAGTACTTCCCTTAACTTCAACAACGTGGTTCGGTTGACAGAGCAAGTAAACTTGATGTTTAACTTTTTGTGGCTTACAAAAAGCCTGCAATATTTAAAACTTAACTCTGTCCGCGCTAGGGAACACAGTGACTACAATAAAATTCTATAACACTTCCAACCACGAACAGCAGCACAGCTTGATCTGTGGATTGTCCTACTTGACAAGAGCACCTCATTTCATAGATTTTTGGGGTAGATCAGATGTGAAGATCAAAGATCGAGTTTGGAGCCCCGGACATAGTAGTTCTGTTTCAAGTCACCACAAAACCAGCGTCCAGTGGTCCACAGTCTGCACACACTCAAAACATCTCAAAACCATAAACCATGTGCTTCTGATCGAGGTGTTCCTCTCCTGCGTGTCTTGCCCAAAGGGATGGAGTGGCAGGATGTCCTGCCAGCCCTCTTGCAGGCGCTCAGCAGACCCAGGGGCACTTTATAACTTGGATTGCCTTCGGGTTCTTGGCCGTGGTGTTGTCTGCGGTCACCCAACTTGGAATCGCATCCCTGCTGAGCCCTGTTCTCCTGATTTCCGGAGTGTGTTTTAAACTACCCTGAGGCTCAAAACAGCCCAGAAGCATCCTATCATGGTGATGGATGAAATCATCTGAAGAGTTTGTGCATGTACACATGGCACATCATCGAAGCCACTAGAGCCATATACACCTGAAGCCAAGAGACATCCTCGGATGAAAGTCCGGTGCAGATCGACAGCGTCAAAGAGCTGCAGAACGCACGCGAGGCACCTGACCTCTTACTGTGGAAGCTGACCAAAGCACAGGTTGCTTGGCTTTGGACACATGGCTTGGGGCTGTGGGCTTCCAGAGTTTGGGTCCAGCAGAGTCTAGCAGGTCTTTGGCCTGTCTTTCGGGCCTCATCCATGTAAGATTTGCGTTTCAGCAGATTTGCAAGTCTGGCATTTCGCATGTTGAACAGGATTCCCGATCTTTACACCTTCGTTTAGATTTGCGCTCTGTAAGGTTGGCAGTGGTGAGCAAAATTTCTTTGGTACAAGTATGCGCGGTGTTCCTGCGGGGTATGCATGCAAAGTGCCGGAAAATGAAAATGACTCGTCGGTGTTTTCGTTCAACCAAGCACTCAGCTCGAATCGGAACTCCTTCTCGAAGGAGTATCGAGAAAGGGTTTCGGTACACTGGGCACCTCAATCGTCTGCCTGCATCCAATGCCAGCCCGGCATGGCGGTCGAATGATAGCATTCCAGAGTTCAACCCTCCTAAAACCCCTCAATCCTGAATCCCCAGCCTCAAAACCCTAGCCCTTCACACCTCAAACCCGACAAGAGGCCTAAACCCCAAACCCCCGGACCTTGCACTCTCTATGTGCCTATAAAGCCCGAAATCCTAAACCCAATGAGCCACATGAGCCCCCCTAAACCTTAAACCCTAAAGCCCTAAACCCCAAAACCCTAAACCCTAAACCCCCTTGCGCCAACTTCCAAGGACTGGCCCCCCTCGGGTATCTATCGCTTTGCGGCCCTTAGGCCCAAACTGGAGCCGAAACTGGAAGAAGGCCAGGGACTGTAGGCTTTAAAAGAGCACTAGCTACTAGGGTTCCTTGAAGGGAGGTTGCTATGAGGGTTCCTTTACAGTCGCTAGTTCAAGGCTACTACAAAGGGCCCCTCGAGGGGTAATTCTGAGAGGGTACTACGAGGCTACTTGGAAGGGTACTGTTGATATACAAGGGTTCTCTGTAGGGTCTCGGGGTATTTAGGATTTAAGGGTTTTGCTCAATGGCTCATGGAGCGAGGGCTCAGGGCCTAGATTTGGGTTTGCTGGAGGGTTACTCTTGGGGCTTGGGGTTGCGATGCGAGTTTGAGGATGTTGCCGAGAGTTCTACCTTCAAAAAGAGGATTGTGTTGGAAGGTTCTGTCTTCAGGAGCACTTGTTGCTTGGCAGTCGGGTAGGGAGGGGAGACGAGGTAACCAACAGCAAAGAGTCTGCAGCTGTTTGACCCTGGACTCGATCTCGTCGGTATAAGCTCACGGGCGACTGTAATTTATGGTGTCATCCATGCGTCCGATGCAGCAGTTTGTTCATTTCCTGTAGCGCGTAAGGCAAAGCCGAGCGCAAGAGAGTGTTTCAGTATTTCAACAGTATTAGTATTGGCTATAGTATATTTTCTAAGAAATTTAGTTATATGCAGCATATTATTATCGTAAGTTTGTAACGTGTTTTAGTACGTACAGTAGTTACACTAGGTTCTTGCAGCTTGTATAGTATAAGTTGCAAGCATTCCATGCTTCAGGCATCCTCTGGAGTGCGGCTGAGCAGCGATCAGTCGTGGGTTTGGCGGCTAGCTCGGAGCCACAACGTAGGTGGAGCTGCGCCAACTGCCAGGGCCATCAATTTGTTGTGAACTCTGTTTGTGCTCCGCCATGCCCATTGGCTCCACTGTGGCGGGAGACTGCTTGTTGCAATCTGTTGTAATGAGAGACGGAAACTCTGCCCAAGAATGTGCATACATGCAGGTAACTGTGTCAGATTTTGGGAGTTTCCGACAATAAGGGGGTACCCTATATTGGGGTTCTTATAATAAGTATCCTACTATTCAGAGTACTGTATTAGGGTCCCCTATTTTCGGAAACCCTCATATGTCAGGGCGTCAGCATGACATGAAGATCCTCGTCAGTCTGGTAGAAGCGGTCGCGTCAGATTCTTCATGACCACGGCTTTAGCCAGTGCCGGTGTTACAAATCGTCGTAGAGCATCAGTTTCACCAGCCCGCAGGGACCTACTCCGAGTCCTGCTCATGCTCGCAGCAAGCCATGCTTCTAGCAAAAAGCATAGTCACCCATTTCTGAAGAGAACCCAGTGACTGCAAGAACAGCCGATTTGCAGAAGCATGTGCATACTGTTCGTATGTATAGGAGTGGCAACCTCCTGCATCGGTAACCGAGCTTCTGGATATGCTCCGGCCTTTGTGTTGGCAGACGTTCCCACCAAGCTGCCACGCTTTTCAACTTTCCTGCTGTTGCCGACTACTGATCGCACAATTCGCTGGTCATTTGAAAGACAATGCTGATGGT